TTTTTTTTTTTTTTTGATGTTTAGTTTATTTTTGAGAGCAAGTGTGAGTGGGGGAGGGGCAGAGAGAGAGGGAGACACAGAATCTGAAACAGGCTCCAGGCTCTGAGGTGTCAGCACAGAGCCCGACGCGGGGCTTAAGCCCATGAACCATGAGATCCACCGGAGCCAAAGTTGGACACTTAACCAGCTGAGTCACCCAAGATCCCCAAAGCAAGTGGTCTCAAGTTTGTCTTTTCTTCCTAGCGTTTCTGAGCTCATTATTGTTTCTCCATGTTTGCTGGGTAGACCTAATGTTTGTGGACCTTGCAATTTTAGTTTATTAGGTTTTGTCCATGTTTTGCAGTCATTGTTGCATTTACTGTTAAATCCTCCCAGTTTGAAAGTGGTAGCTATTACCTTAAAGAAGAAATACTGGGACCCACTTAATTACAGAACTTAACAATTTGTCTTAAATTAGCAAGTCTGTGAGTTCCTTTGAATCACATTATGAAGCTGGAAATTGAACTAGTCTGAAAGAAAATGAACTGTGAGGGGCACCTGGGTGGCTCAGTCCTTTAAGCATCTGATTCCTGATTTCGACTCAGGTCATGATTTCTCACTGTTCGTGAGTTCGAGCCCTGCATTGGGCTATGAGTGCAGAGCCTGTTTGGGATCCTCTCTCTCTCTCTCTCTCTCTCTCTCTCTCTCTCTCTCTCTCTCTGCTCATCCCCCTCATGCACACATGTGCACACTCTTACTCTCTCAAATAAACTTAGAAAGAAAAGAAAGAAAGAAAGAAAGAAAGAAAGAAAGAAAGAAAGAAAAGAAAGAAAGAAAGAAAGAAAAAGAAAACGCACTTTGATTGTCAAAGCCCTGCCTTATATGATAAGCTTGACTTAATACATTTCCTCAATCTCCAGCCTAGTTGCATAAGCATTACCTCAGAACAGGCCAACCAGACATGGATTTTTAGGAGACTGCCGTAAGTATGTCTGCAGCTTATTTCCTTCCTTCCTTTCTTCCTTCCTTTAAATCCAAGTTAGTTAACATATAGTGTAATAATGGTTTCAGGAGTAGAATTTAGTGATTCATCACTTACTTATAACACCCAGTGTTCATCCCAAACAGTGCCCCCCTCAGTGCCCATCACCCATTTAGGCCATCCCCCTGCCCAACACCCCTCCAGCAACCTTCCGTTTGTTTTCTGTATTTTAAGAGTCCCATATGGTTTGCCTCCCTGTTATTTTTCCTTCCCTTCCCCTATGTTCATCTGTTTTGTTTCATAAATTCCACATCTGAGTGAAATCATATGATAGCTATCTTTTCTGTGACTTAGTTCGCTTAGCATAATACATTCTAGTTCTGTCCACATTGTTGCAAATAGCAAGATTTCATTCTTTTTGATCACTGAGTAATATTCCAGTGTGTGTCACACACATAGGTATACCGCATCTTTTTTCATTCATCAGTCATGGACATTTGGGCTCTTTCCATAATTTGGCTATGGTTGATAGCAGTGTTATAAACATTGGAGGGGGGGTGCATGTGCCCCTTCGAATATGCATTTTTGTATCCTTTGGATAAATACCTAGTAGTGCAATAGGGGAGCTCTGTTTTTAATTTTTTGAGGAACCTCTCCCTACGGTTCTCCTGAGTGGTTGCACCAGTTTGCATTCCCACCATCAGTGCAAAAGTGTTTCCCTTCTCTGCAGCCTCACCAACATCTGTTGTTTCCTGAGTTGTTCATTTTAGCCATTCTGACAGGTGTGAGGTGGTATCTCAGTGTGGTTTTGATTTGTATTTCCCTGATAACGAGTGATGTTGAGCATTTGTTTCATGTGTCTGTTAGCCATCCAGATGTCTTCTTTGGAAAATTGTTTGTGTCTTTGGTCCATTTCTTCCCTAGGTTATTTGCTCTTTGGGTGTTGAGTTTGATAAGTTCTTTATAGATTTTTGGATACTAACCCTTTATCTGATATGTCATTTGCACCTATCTTCTCCCTTTCTGTCAGTTGCCTTTTAGTTTTGTTGATTGTTTCCTTTGCTGTGCAGAAGCTTTTTATCTTAATGAGGTCCCAATAGTTCATTTTCATTTTTGCTTTTGTTTCCCTTGCCTCTGGAGACCTGTCTAGTAAGAAGTTGCTGTGGTCGAGATTAAAGAGGCTTTTGCCTGCTTTCTCCTCTACGATTTTGATGGCTTCCTGTCATACGTTTTGGTCTTTCATCCATTTTGAGTTTGTTTTTGTGTATGGTGTAAGAAAGTGGTCCAGGTTCATTTTTCTGCATGTCGCTGTCCAGTTTTCCCAGCCCCATTTGCTGAGGAGACTGTCTTTATTCTGTTGGATATTCTTTCCTGCTTGGTAGAAGATTAGTTGGCCATACATTTGTGGGTCCATTTCTGGGTTCTCTATTCTGTTCCATTGATTTGTGTCTGTTTTGTGACAGCACCATAGTGTCTTTGATGATTGCAGTTTTGGTACACAACCTAACCTTACACCTAAAAGAGGTGGAAAAAGAACAGCAGATAACGCCCAAAAACAGCACAAGAAGGGAAATAATAAAGATTAAAGCAGAAATCAATGATAATGAAATTAAAAAAAAATAAACAGATCAATGAAACTAGGAGCTGGGTCTTTGAAAGAATTAACAAAATTGATAAACCTCTAGCCAGATTGATCAAAAAGAAAAAGGAAAGGAGCCAAATAAATAAAATCACAATTGAAAGAGGAGAGATCACAACCAACACCGCAGAAATACAAACAATAATAAGAGAATATTATGAGTAATTATATGCCAACAAGTTGGGCAATCTGGAAGAAATGGATAAATTCCTAGAAACATATAAACTACCAGAACTGGAACAGGAAGAAATAGAAAATTGGAACAGACCCATAACCAGTAAAGAAATTGAATCAGTAATAAAAAATCTCCCACAAACAAGAGTCCAGGGCCAGATGGCTTTCCAGGGGAATTCTACCAAACATTGAAAGGATAGTTACTACCTATTCTTTTGAAGCTGTTCCAAAAAATAGAAGTGGAAGGAAAACTTCCAAATTCATTCTGTGAGACCAGCATTATCTTGATTCCAAAACCAGACAAAGACCCCACTAAAAAGGAGAACTACGGACCCTATTTCCCTGATGAACATGGATGCAAAAATTCTCAACAAGATACTGGCAAATCAAATCCAACACTACATTAAAAAAAAAAAAAAAATTACCATGATCAAGTGAGATTTATTTCTGGGCTATAGGGGTGGTTCAGTATTCCCAAATCAATCAGTGTGATACATCACATTAATAAAAGAAAGGAGAAGAACCACATGATCCTCTCAGTAGATGCAGAAAAAGAATTTGACGAAATACAGCATCCTTTCTTGATAAAAAATTTCAAGAAAGTAGGTATAGAAGGAACATACGTCAACATCATAAAGGCCGTATATGAAAGACCACAGCTGATATCATCCTTAATGGGAAAAAACTGAGAGCTTTCCCCCCAAGGTCAGGAACATGACCGGGATATCCAATCTCACCACTGCTGTTCAACACAGGACTGAAAATTCTGGCCTCAGCAATCAGACAACAAAAAGAAAAGGCATTCGTATTGACAAAAAAGCAGTTAAACTTTAACTCTTTGCAAACAACATGATACTCCACTTTTGGAAAACCCAAAAGACTCCACAAAAAAACTGCTAGAACTGATTGATAAGTTCAGCAAGGTCACAGGATGTAAGCTCAATGTACACAAATTGGTTGCATGTCTTCTATACTCTAATAATGAAGCAGCAGAAAGTGAAATCAAGGAATCAGTCCCATTTACAGTTGCACCAAAAAGACCTAGGAATGAAATACGTAGGAATAAACCTAACCAAAGAGTAAAAGATCTGTATACTGAAAACAAAGAAAGCTTATGAAAGAAATTGAAGAGGACACAAAGAAATGGAAAAGCATTTCATATGCTCATGGATTAGAGGAACAAATATTGTTAAAATGTCTATACTAACCAAAGCAATCGACACATTCAGTGCAATCCCTATCAAAATACCACCAGCATTCTTCACAGAGCTAGAACAAACAATTGTAAAATTTGTATGGAACCATCTATCTCTTCCTCCCCCGCTTGCACTCTGTCTCTCTCAAAAATAAATGAAGATTAAAAATAAATGGGGCGCCTGGGTGGCTGAGTCAGTTGAGCGTCTAACTTCGGATCAGGTCATGATCTCACGGTTTGTGGGTTCAAGCCCTGTGTCAGGCTCTGTGCTAACAGCTTGGAGCCTGGAGCCTACTTCAGATTCTGTGTCTCCCTCTCTCTCTGTTCGTCCCCTGCCTGCACTCTCTCTCTCTCTCTCTCTCAAAAATAAATAAAGTTTAAAAAAAAAAAAATTTAAATTTGTATGGAACCAGAAGAGATCCCGAATAGCCAAAGTAATGTTGAAAAAGAAAACCAAAGCTGGAAGGATCACAATTCCAGACTTACTTCCTTCCAGTGGCAGTTGCGGCTGCCCCTTAGAGCATCTTTCCTAGGCACAGAGGCAGGATGGGAAGGGTGATCCTCCCAGGGAAGTGAGATACTTATTCTTGCAGTGCTAGGGTGCTGTAGTCCCCACTACATTTGTGAGGGCTTTAAGGAGCTTGTATCAGCTACAGAAGGTTCTCTTACTCCTGCATCTTCTATGTGACAGAAGTTGGACTCATCATTCCTGCTTCAGTGTGGCATCTTAAGTTGATATTTTCCTGTTTTGTATTTGTGCCATTTAAACACATTGTTGGAACTAATGGATGATGATTTGCTGGATGTATGCTTTCTCTTGTCAGCCCTGGGTTTAAAAAACATACAGGCTTTGATAGTGGCTGCTGTCAGCAAGTGATTTATTAGTTTTCTTTTGAGGTCTTAACCCCAGTGTGGATTAGGTACTGAGTATGCAGTAGACCTCATCTTGGATTAAAGTATTTGGAATACTCTTTTGCCTCACCAGGAGAGTTTACTAGAAGATCCAGTTGAAGTTTTAGCAATGAAACATCATCAGGGTCCTCTCGGACATAAAACAGCAAGAGAATGTTATGATTACAGGCATGTCCTCTGGTCCAGACTGAGTTCCCTTCGAGCTCCATCAGGAGTAGCTGGTGACCTTAGACAAGTTACTTAACTGTCCTAAGCTTCAGTTTCCTCATACATAAACTGGGGATAATTATACCTTAAAACGATTGATGTGCCAAGTGCTAATATATGGACAGTGTTTGCTATTATTATTATGTGGTCATGTTTCACTTCACAATGATTGGAGTATCTCATATTTCTTTTTCAGTGATATCGTGGTCCAAATAGTAGATGCTCGAAACCCACTCCTGTTTAGATGTGAGGACTTGGTAAGTAAAGTGTGACAAAATTCATATGTGCAGTCCTCAGAGCCGCGGTGGGAGGACGGCCTCACTGACAGCAGTAACTGTAGGCAAGCGTTCTGTTCCCTCCTCTCCTCCCAGGGTCGGGCGCTTACACACTGCTGCTGTTTAGACAGGTGTTTTCCTTCTAAAACAGTCATTTTCGTCTGCAGGAAGGGACAAACACCTGAACTCTCTAGCTTCTAGTTTAGAAGCCAATTTGTTAATAGATATTTGCCAGTGTTTCTCATTTTTTAAGAGACATCGGTTTAAATAACATTGTACTTTTTAGTCCCGTCTTACCCATCCTGTCATGTTCTCTCTCCTCACACCTTACTTACTACCTGCTGTGATATTTTACAGTGAACTGTTTGTAAAACACCACAGGTAGTAATAATTAAGGAGTGAAGATTACATGAAAGAATGTAATACAGGCTTTGGATTAGTACAACACTGTACATATGTGAAGTATTCCTATTTGTGTTTGAGGACCATGATAGTAATAGTACAGGATATTTTTAAATCCATTGGTGAGAGACAAAAATCTCATTTGTGAAACTCTTGTGAAGTCACACTCTGGTGTGTTCCCTAATGAAGAGCTGTGTTTGGGAATTAATATCAATTAATCGAGTCTTGTTTTTCTTTTAGTCCCTGCTGGCTGACAAATCTAGCTCTGCAGTTCTTTAACTGTGTAAAAGAAATACTTCGGCAGTATCAGAGAGAGGAACAACAGTATTTAAAGTGGAAAGATCTATTACCCTTCAGCAGGACAGGAGAGCATTTCATTTTACCCTTTCCAATTTTTTATGTTGAGGGTACTTCTAAGTGTATGTGACCTACCTTTCTCAGAGCTTACTGGAAGGATCATTAGAATGTAGCAGGATGAAAACTCTTTAAATTAGGGTTGACTTAAAACTAGGGGCAGTAAAAATTTTTAGTCATACTTGAGGGTCTTCAGTATAATTTGCCCAATATTTACTTGTTTGAAGAGGCCTTTCTAAATACCTTTGTCTTGCCCAGGAATGTTACGTGAAAGAAATAGATGACAGTAAGGAAAATGTCATTCTGATAAATAAGGCAGACTTGCTGACTGCTGAGCAGCGGAGTGCCTGGGCCACATACTTTGAAAAAGAAAATGTGAAGATTATCTTCTGGTCGGCTTTGGCTGAAGCCATTCAACTGATTGGTGACTCTGAGGTAACCTGAGGGCTTTTTCAGGTTGGGTTTCTGGGAGGAAGATTTCAGTTTCTAGTTAGTAAGCTTTGGGTTGGTTGGTTGGTTGGTTGGTTGGTTGGTTTGAAGTTTTATGGGAATTCAGGGATTTTTGTTGGTTCCCTAAATGCTCTGATAGTAGGATGATCTATACTATAGAAAAATGAATCACAAGGTTGCTTTCTCTGGTTGTCAAATAGTCTGACATCTTTGGGGCTCTGTGTTACACACTGACACTAGCTAAAATTTTTAATTCTTTTAGATTTTCGGCAGGAAGTTGAATAGGAAGTTTCATAATGACTTTAATAATAGTTTTTAACAGGAGGCGGTGACAACCAAAGCCTGTACCTCTACTTCTCAGGACTTGATTAGAATCTCTTTTGACATTGTTTTCAAAACGAAATGAAGTAATCCTAAAGCTATACCATGTTCTCTTTTAACCCAAATTTTACAGAAACAATTTGGGGGTGGGGTGGTGGCGTGAATGTGTGTGTGTTTTAAGTTTATTTATTTTGAGAGAGAGAGCGAGCGTGCACAAGCAGGGTAGAGGCAGAGAGAGAGGATCCCAAGCACAGAGCCCGATGTGAGACTCGAACCCACAAACTGCGAGGTTATAACCTGAGCTGAAGGCAGATGCTTAACTCACTGAGCTGAAGGCGCCCTGTGTGCTTGTTTTAAGTAATCTCTACACCCAATCTCCACCCATCGTAGGGCTTGAACTCACAGATCGAGTCACATGCTCCACCAACTGAGCCAGCCAGGTGCCCCTGGGGTTTGTTTTTTAATAAAAAATATAACTAATAACTAATAATAACTATGAAATGAAATTAGTAGTAGAATCTTAGATCTGGAAGAGACCTAAAGTAATACTTTTTTTCCTAGCCTTCTCCTTTTATCTCTGTCAACCATGTATTGACTTGTGTGTTGAGCTGGGTATCAGTGAATATAATACCCTCTCCTGATGAGTTTATAGGTTAGCTCACCTCCATGGCAAACAGTCAGATAATCTCTCTGTGACTACATTAAATGACAGAGACCTGGTAGCTCACTGTTCCTGTCTTCATTTAGAAAGTTCCTCAGGGGTGTCAGCGTGGCTCAGTTGGTCCAGCTCTTGATTTCAGCTCAGGTCATGATCCCAGAGTCATGGGTCTAGCCCCCTGTTGATCTCCATGCTGAGAGTGGAGCCTGCTTAAGATTCTGTCTCTCCTGCCTCTCTCCCCTCCCCCACTCCCTCATCCACCCCCACACCCCACTTGCTCGCGCATGCACACACACACTATGTCTCTCAATAAAAAAAAAAAAAAAAATGTTAAAGAAAGAAAGTTTTTCAGTTTAGTGAAGCTAAGTTGGCCTCCCTAACCCTTGATCTAAGGACTCTTCCTTTGTCCCCTTAGTTCTCTCTTCTGCAAACTGTATGTATTTTCTGCCTTTCTATTCATTATGGACACAATATCTGGGGCACTCTTCATCTCAAGTGCCTGTTTGCCTGTGTCAGGATAACATTAAAATTGGTGGCACCTAATTGAATATGTTATTCTAGATATGGTTTGCCCAGGATGTATACAGAGAGACTATTAACTTCTTGTAATCAGGATACTCCTAGTAATTCAGAGTTTTTGTTAATTCACCCCATTTCAAAGGAGCTATATTATGGTCTTGGCTAATTTAACCTGTGAACAACCAAATCCCTCAAATATCTTTTAAAAATGAGAAGACTTAATGCAAATCTCGCCCCATATTTACATATGGAAAAAGTTTTTGTGTTTGTGGTTGGTTTTTGTTTGTTTTTGGGAGAGAGAGCGCGCATGAGCACACGCACAAGAGAGCGCAAGTGAGGGAGGGGCAGAGAGAGGGGGCAGACAGAGGATCCAAATTGGGCCCTACACTGACAGCAGCAAGCCCAGTGCGGGGCTCGAACTCACAAACCATGAGATCATGACCTGAGCTTAATTCAGATGTTCAACCAAGTGAGCCACTCAGGCTCAACTTAGGACAGTATTGTTCCTCTGAAATATTGTTAGTGTTTGGGGCTAAGGTAGAGAATTCATTTTGGTTGTGCAATTTGCTTTTCTCTCCTTCTAGCTTTGAATCTGCAGATGTTGTGTGTTTGTGCTTCTGTATATTCTTTCCAGTCATTGATGTTAAACAGGTCAGAACCAAGGGGAGAGCTCTGTAACCTTTTGTGAACTTACTAAGCACTTGGTACTAATAAGCATTCTGATGTGATGAATACAGATGTGTTTGCAAGGATAGAACAGTAAGGATCATTCTGTTGTTACTATTGTTAATAAAAACTAACCCATAAAAAGTTTATTCTGTGCCAGGCACCACTGTCCTAAGCACTTTGTATATTTTATTCATTTAATCTTCTCAACAGTAAATGTAAGTGCTTATTATCCTCAGGTAGTCTGGCTTCCTAGTTTGTCCTCTTAACCATTATTTCTGTTTCCCCTCTTTCCTGGAAGCCAGCATCTTACTGAAGGTTTTTGTTGTTGTATTTTTAAATTATCAAAAATGAGAAAAGGATTAGTTTCTACATCTGTAGTCTTCCCTGAACTGTTACCAAGTAGTACGTTCCACTTTTTTACATAATCTGTTCTCAGGAAACCCTTGTTGCCTCCTGTTGATGACTATCTTTTTAGGGCTCACCAGCTGCCTTGTGGACTTACTCCCATATCCAACTCCGAGTTAACAGTGTGTGGTTATGGAAGATATTCTTTCTTCCTTCTTAAGTTAGCCATCATTTACTCCTCCCAAGTCTTCTGAAGTCTCTGATGTTTTTCATGATTTCTCAAGACCAATAACTAACTACTGTTGCGATGTATCAATAATCACATCTGTCATTTGAGTATCAAACATGAACTTACTAGAAATAGTTTGATAATCACTGTACTCGCCTATCTGAAGCTTGGTTCTTCCTTTACAGTTGTTTAACCCCTTCTTATTTGAAAGAGCATGACAGTTTTCAAGCCGAGTACCTTAGTTTTTTCTTGGCCAACTGTTAAATTGCACTGTTTTCCTAAGAAATTGGCTTTCCCCTTATTTCTATTTTACTGGTAACTGCCACAAAGTCCTTCTGTTGTCCTTCTCATTTTTCCTGAACCTAAACTGCTTCTAGTTTTAGGTGGGGTCTTTTTTAAAAGTCTTTATTTATTTATTTTGAGAGAGAGAGTGCACGTGCATTGGGCGGGGCAGAGAGAGAAATTCCCAAGCAGGCTCTGCACTGTCATCGCAGAGCCCCATATACAAACCCACAAACCAACTGAGCCATCGAGGTGCCCCTGGTTCACATTATTGTTACCTGTTTCTTTCATATTTTGAAATGATCCAGAAGAGCTCACGGTGAAGACACACCATCTTCTTTACACTCATTGTTCATTTCTCATAGAAATTGCTCCCAGTTCTGTAGTTCTGTTAGAAGCCATACTGTTTTGTTGTGGGTTGTTTTTTTTTTTTAAGTTTTTTCTTTTTTTTTGAGAGAGAGAACATGAGCAGGGGAGGGCGAGAGAGAGAGAGAGAGAGAGAGAGAGAATCCCAAGCAGGCCCTGCACTGTCAGCACAGAGCCCAACGTGGGGCTCAAACCCACGAATCATGAGATCATAGAGTTGAATGCTTAACCAACTGAGCCACATAGGCACCCTCATGCTGTTTCTTTTTGACTCACCAGGCTTGACTGTGAAATCATGCCTATTTTCTGTGATGGTTTATGTCACTACTTTCCTAAAATTTAGGATACCCGTTTAACTCCCTGTGTCCTCTTCTGTGACAATTACCCATTCTAACATTAGGTAATTTAGAAATGATGCCAGGTTTGCATCACTTCTAAATCCAGACCAATTCACTCTTGTTGATACAAATCAATATAGTAATACCATAAGTTGTCTTAGTTTTGCTTTAATATCAGTAGGAATTCAGAAGAATTTACACATCCCTAAAGAGTAAATGATTTTTATCTTTTTTTTCTTTTTTGCATATGTGAATAATTTTCGCATGTGGAGTTGAGTTTTGTTTATTTCATCCTGAGGGAGCTGTGCTGCACAGCACTTTGATTTATTAAAGGGGATTATAAAGGAATAGCAGTTTCCTTAAATATGCAAACCAGAGTCTTTAAAAATGCAAATGTAAAAAACTCAAATTATAAATTCTGCTCTTCTTGCTTTGTGCAGAGAAGAGAATGTTAAATGTTTTATTGTTAACGAGAAATGCTTTATTCTATAGGCCGTTGTAAAATGGCATACTGACAAAGAATTCAGCTTGACATGGGCTTTTCTAAGCTCTTGCTTTCTTTAAAGATGTATCTATTACAGAAGTAACACATGTTGTTTGTACAGAGTTCAAATAATACAGGAACGCATAAAGTGACAGTCCACTGTTCCTCCCGTCCCCAGAGGGCACCACTGTTGATAGTTTGGTTGTGTCCTTGCACTGAAAGACTTACATTATCTCCCTGTTTTCACTTTTTCTGGTCTCCTTCATGGCTTTTCTAGTCCTCTGTTCTTCAATAACCAACTCTGAATACTTTCATTAGAATGAAAGATGCCATTGTTCTACCCTTCTGAACTTTTGCGGTTTCTGTTATTTCATCAGGAACATGTGAACGAGGGTGCTGGAGAAGCCAACACAACCGAGTCTGAAAACTCCAGTTGTGATGAGGCTGAAAATCCTCACAGTGAGACCGAACACCTCCTGGATGGGGAATCCCCGCCACTTGGTGAAGTTGCCAGTAGCGATGAAGACAACAGTGAGTACGAGGACTGTCAGGAGGAGGAGGAGGAAGTTTGGCAGACGTGTTCGGAAGAGGACAGCAACCCTGACGAAGAGCCCTGTGGCTGGGACAGGAAGGAAAGCTGTACTGTGGATTCTGAGGCTCAGGGCAGGAACACCCTGGAGAAGAGGCACACACGCAATTTCAGCCACCTGGTATCAAGGCAGGAGTTATTGGAGATCTTTAAGCAGCTACACACTGGGAAGAAAGTGAAAGACGGACAGCTTACCGTTGGACTGGTAAGGTGAAATAGGTCCTGAGATTGTTACCACATGGGTATCTTTATATCCAATCCATTGGTAGCTACACTGGAATCCAAGGGACTACTAACCAGGCTTCTGGCATCATTGGGAACGTTATTGCCCTCTTGTTGCCCACTGGCATTGTGGGAGTAGGCAGTGTGACAGGAAAAGTCAAAAGTGTACTCTTTCAAGGCTTACATTAGCTATACCTCTTTTCATAGTAATTATCTTCTCCCACCTCCTTCCAGTTCAGCGCTACCAGTCATGTGACTTTCCAAGAAGTACTTGGAAGAGAGCACTTTTAAGACCATTTTCACTCTTCCAGGTCAATATTCTTACCTTCTGGAGGCTTATGGTATCATGTGATCCTTACGAATTTGTACTGTAAATGTTCCAGATGCATTCTAGGGAGAATCCCAACATCTTTGGGCCAGGTACAACAAGATTGGTGCTTTGGTTGCATAAGAATAGGGGAAAGGAGGGGCGACTGGGTGGCTCCGTTGGTTGATCCTCCGACTTCGGCTCAGGTCATGATCTCACAGTTCGTGAGTTCCAGCCCCATATCTGGCTCATGGCTTACAGTGTGGAGCCTGCTTCGGATCCTCTGTCCCCCTCTCTCTGCCCCTTTCCCGCTAGTGCACATGTGTGCACACTCTCTCAAAAATAAACAAAAAACGGGAAAGGAGATCACGTCCCTAGCTACATATACACTAATTCTAGAGGTGGCTGTGAGAAGTACCCAAACCTCAGGGGTGTACAGCAGAGCTCCAGACGGCCCCATCTTTAGCTAAGGAAGTGTAAGATGTTAGAGAAGGTGTCTTATAGATCTTCCATCCAAGCAAGAAAACAAAACAGTGAAAGAAAGTAGATCATGGCAGCCTTAAAATCTTCTAGCTTTTAAGTTACGTGCCGAGTAGAGCAATCCTAATTGCTTTGAAGCACTGTCCCCCTCCCAAAGCGTACTTAAAATGATTATAGCAGATTGACATTTTATTTTAGAACACTAGTTAAAGGAATTGTCCCTGGAGCCAGGCAGACCTAGTGTAATTCCCAGTTCTACAGTGGAACAGATTTACTTGCTATAAATTTTGGGAAATGTAGCTAATTTCTGTTAGCTTTACAACTCCACTTCTATATATTATTGCTAAAAATTCATTTTCTATATGCCACCAGAAAGCCCAGCTTCCCTAAAAGCTAGTTTATTTCTCACATTTACGGACATGCTGAGCAGCCTCGCCACTTTCTAAATGTCTTCCTCTAGAAATCTTGAAAATAGGTTAATTTACTCATTCCGTGAACATTTATTGATCACTGGCCACATGCCAGGTGTCCTGCTGGGCCATGACAGTCAGTGTATCTCCACCCTCCCAGAACTTCTAATTCCAAGTGTAGGGAGTGGTAGAGAGGACGGACATCCAGCGCCATATAGGAGTTGTATAATGAGGAGCCTGGTCTGCAGGAGGTGGGGGAGATGACAGCAACAGAAGTCCCCTGCCCCCAACAAAGGACATGTAAACAAATGGTAACATGTTATGTAATCAAGATATAAATAAACACAAAACATGAGAATATTGAAATTAATGAGCAGTTGTCTGACATATTTATGTAAGAGGTTGCACCTTAAAGTACAATGTGACAATAGAAGGAAGGGCCTTCAGACAAACAAGGTAAAGGTTTAAACCAAGCCCCAAGAATGGAAGTATGTCCATGGACCAGCAGGTGGCAGTATGGCTAAGCATGGAGAGGGGCAAGAGCGAAGCTGAGCAATGGAAGTAATGTGTTAGGAGGCCTGTACTGGGGGTGGAAGGTTTGGAGTTTTATGTTCCATGGGATCAGTATTTGTAATCTTCCAGTCATGCTGACGGAGGATAGTTTGAACCAAGTAAGAAGGAATTGGATTTAGAGGTACAGGGAAAAAAACCTAAGAAAAAGCCTGGAGCAAGACTGGCATGATTTGAGCATTTATTTGAGAATCTTTATATGATCCTGCTAAGACTCACTGAAGAGTTTTAATAGCTTGTTAACCCACAGCAAGTCCATGTGCCATTTACCATTGTTAACCAATAAGATAGAAGCTTGCTGGTAAGTTACTAAAAATTAAAAGTGATTGTATGTTGTGATGATTAAAATACCTATCTGATGCTTGACTTCACCCACAGTGTGGAAAATACAACAGAAACTGAAATGCCTGTAAGATGGGACATCGTGGGTAGAGCTGAGAACAAGGGGCTGAGGTTTACTGTAATATCTGCTGTTACAGCAAGACCTCTACAAATAAAATGTACTTAGCTTGACTGTGCATCACTGGAGACCTGTCTGAATAAATACATCCACACTGCAGGGGAACAAATTGTCCACAAACAGCACCTATTTCAAATAATCTTTTGAAGCAACCAGACACACTGGAGTTGCACTATTTATGTATCATCTTTGGGTTTGATACACGTACTGTCAGACGCTAGTAACTTAGGTGTCTCTTGCAGGTGGGCTACCCGAATGTTGGTAAGAGTTCCACAATCAACACCATCATGGGCAACAAGAAAGTGTCTGTGTCTGCCACACCTGGTCACACCAAGCATTTTCAGGTATTTCTGCAGCATCAGCCTGTTTCCTCCTTAGCCACTTCCTCCGGCTGGGTTTTCTGAGTTCTTCACCACTCGCGTGGTGGTCTTTTCCCTTCCTCTGCTGTGTGCCCAGCGTAAACCTCTCACTTGTCTTTCAGACTCTCTATGTGGAACCTGGCCTCTGCTTATGTGACTGCCCGGGCCTGGTGATGCCATCCTTCGTCTCTACCAAGGCAGAAATGACTTGCAATGGAATCCTCCCTATTGACCAAATGAGAGACCACGTTCCCCCTGTGTCACTAATATCCTTTCTGCTTTACAAAGACTGGTTGTTACGTGTACACTAGGGCTTCAAGTTTGTTTTGGACTTGGCTTTGCATTGGATGTATTGAAAAACCTGAAACACTTAACAGTAACTTGCCCAAGTTTATATGTGAGGTAGCATCAGGATTGCAGAACCTCATGTCCTGAGTGCAGCTGTGTCGCCTGGAATCAGTGGAAGAGCCCAGTCTTGGATCTCAGCCCCAAGTTGCAAACCTGAATCCTGATACTGCCATTTGACTATTTGTGTGATAAGCTTGCTTAACCTTCCAGAAACTCTCTTTTCTGAAAAGTGCCAGTAATAACAGCTCCTTCACGGTTGATAAGACCTGAATGAAGAGATATACGTGTTTATGGTTTGAAAGACTTCATACTCTTAAAATGTCAATTCTTCTCAAATTGATACATCAGTGCAATGCAATGCAATCCCAATCAAAATCCCAGCATGCTTTTAAAGTATGCAAATAGGCCTACCAAAAAAAAAAAGGAACTCTGCTGCTTCCCAGCATAATGAGTTAACTTATGTGAAGTACCTAGGATAGTGTGTGACATGAAAAAAATATTGTTAAGAACCACAGTGTCTTAAGATCTTACCCTACTTACAAGCCAACAGGTTAGTCTGTTACTGTTCCGTGGATGCTGGAGGAAGATAGGAAGGAGACTCCGTGAAACTGACATGCCAATTTGTTAATTTATAAGTAGCGTGAAGTTTCTGGCCCTGTAGAGTTCTTGACAAGATTCTTCATGACTGCCCTGAAGGCCACCGCATTTTATTTACCCCAATTTGATTTCTCTTCCTGTAAGAAATAATGAGAAAGAATTCATCTGCCAGGATTGATAAAATACAGTATATCGCTAAAATAGAATAGTATATGGTTGTTAAAAATACTGCACTAAGTCTGCCTGTGGTAACCTAGGTAGATCTCAAAAGATCACATATACGGTGTGACACCCATTTCTGTAAAAATTGTCACCTCACAGAACAGTACTTTGCATTAATAGATACATGTGAGTGTAAAAGTGGGAGAAGCAGACCGGCGGAGGTTTGCATTTGTAATACAATTTTTAAAAAAAAAATTTTTTTAACATTTATTTATTTTTGAGACAGAGACGGAGCATGAATGGGGGAGGGTCAGAGAGAGAGGGAGACACAGAATCTGAAACAGGCTCCAGGTTCTGAGCTGTTAGCACAGAGCCCAACGTGGGGCTCGAACTCACAGACTGAGATCATGACCTGAGCCAAAGTCGGGCGCTTAACTGACTGAGCCACCCAGGGGCCCCTGTAATACAATTTTTAATAGACGAAATTGTTACCACTTATTGATAGTTGGGAACACAGTTGTTACATTATGTATGCTTTTCTGTATATTTTCTGTTTCTGTTTGAATTAATAATCGGATGTGTATTGAGCATTCATTACAAGCCAGATAAGGTTGGGTTCTTTGGAAGCTATGAGCATGAATCAGCCATGGATCCTGCCCTTTCTGGATTCGGTCTCGGGGGCATATGGGGCATGTGCATGAATAGCCGGTACAAGGTAGAATGGTATTTAAAGAGAAAGCATTTGAAAATTCATGAATAACTGTACTTCTTTTTTGGAGACATAAAAAGGCTTCGGTCATAGGAGTGCTAAAGTACCATGGTCTCAGAATTAGAGGCATGTGTCAGAAGCCGTGGTGGGGAGGGGTCAGTTCAAGGTAATGGATTCCTTGACAAGCTTATGTTTGCCAGAATATTCCGAGATATGTTTTAGAAGCTACCTATGGCATTAATATCATAAAGCCTAGAGAGGATGAAGATCCCCATCGACCTCCAACATCAGAAGAACTGTTGACAGCTTACGGATGTGAGTTGTGATTTATTTTAAAACATGAACAATTAAATGGACAAAAAGTAACAACATGGTTAATGAGAGCAACTATTCCTGCAGAGATAGAAATTTACATTTTTCCTTAGTATTTGTCATGTCATCTTCCAAGGTTTGTGCCTTCGTTGTCTCTGTTGGCCTTGCCTCCAGCTACCTGGTCTCCAGGTAGCTGCTTTGGTGGTGGGTTCAGAGAGCAGCAGTAAGGGAGGGGAGCTGACTGCTCCGTGAGTAGCATTTTACTTCAGTGTGGTAAGTGCTTTCTGGAGTTAGAGGAGGAGATGCTTTGAATCCCTTGCCTCTCCTCAGGTCTGCCCTTTGCTTTCACTATAGCAGTCAGGCCCTTCCCTGTTGAATGCCTAGATGCAGACTGTTGAAAGCTCCCACAGAGAGCACCAGCAAGAGCCAGCAGTTGTCACATGCCTCTAAGAAAAGGCCCTGAGGGCATTCACTGTTTAGAAGATAACCAGGTATAGACACGATTCAGATTGAGGCTGTGCTGGCTTTTTCTGGAGTCTTCTCCCAAACAGGAAAGAAAAGGGATGTTGGGAAGAAAATGAATATGCTGTCAGAGCAGGTAGGAGAGTTGTGAGGGCAGCATTGGAAGGGAAAGCCCTCAGATTGGGACGTTGCTGAATGTGGTCAGGGTAGGGACACAAAACAGCCTCCCTCCCCTTCCATCAGTCCCTTGGAAACCTTGTTTGACATTAACTTGAACTTAGCTTAGTTGAGAGACTTTAAAGAGGATAAATATTAAGCATTTGTGATGAGACCGGTGTAGTCACAAAACCACGTAAGAGACCTTAAAGATCACTCCGCCTCTCACCTCTTTTTTTTTTTTAAGACGAGTAATCTGAAATCAGAGCATGAAATGACTTGCCTACAGTGGTGTGGTGTCTGATCAGTGGCGCATAGCCTGAGTTTCATATTCCAGACCTCTCTCCAGTAGTGGGCTTCCACCAGACTTTCCATTTGATTGGACTTCCAGATAAAACTAAAAGTAATCGTTTTTTAAGATTTTTCACCTAATGCTGATAAAATCAGAGTAAGGAAAAAGCCAGTTTGTAAAGATGGATGACCACATACGTATAGTTTCTAAGATCATTTTGCAGGTCTGTAAAGAATAGTCTCTGACAGCACCTGGGTGGCTCAGTCGGTTGAGCGTCCAACTTCGGCTCAGGTCATGATCTCACAGCTCATGAGTTCGAGCCCCATGTCAGGCTCTATGATGACAGCTTGGAGCCTGGAGCCTGCTTCCGATTCTGTGTCTCCACCTCCCTCTGCCCCTAACCCACTCACTTTCTGTCTCTATCTCTCTCAAAAGTAAATAAACATTAAAAAAAATTTTTTTTTTTTAAGAATAGTCTGATGGTTCATAAGACATTGCTAAATAACTTTAATTTGCATATCTTTACTAATGAAATGGAACATCTGTGCATATGCTGGCCATTTCTGTTTCTTCTGGGAATCACCTTTTTCTATGCATCTTTTGTTCTTTTAAGGATTTGTAGGACTTCTTTGTGGTGTCTTTAGCCCTATATATGTTAACAATTTTAACAGACTTTTTCCTTTTTGGCTTGATGGTGTTTGGTGTTTTACTTGGGAGGGCCTTCCCTATCTTAAAAGGATAAAACTATTTTCCTGTAATGTCTTTTTTTTATGTACCTTTAGATTTTTAATCTGCCTACGTGTTTTTTTATGTATTGTGTGATCTAAGGTTCTAACTATTTTCTTCTGAACTGAAAGAGCCAATACACAGCTACTAAGTGAAGGAGCTATTTTTAACCCAACCCGTCTGCCAAAGGCCATATTCTTAACCACTAGGCTCTGCTACCCCCTCTAGTTGAGTTACTATTAGAGGGATCTTTGTTGTATGTTTGGGAAATTGGGAAAACGCATAGATACGTTATTAAACAAGAAGACTTACTATATTGCTTTTGGTTTTGCTAATTGTAGTGACGGCATAGCATTCTACAGGTGGCCTCCGTATGTAAATGTTTAAAATCAAGAGATGAAAGAAATAACTGGAGTGGAGAGAGATTGAATGTGTGTGTCAGCCCTTGGTGCTAGGCTATCAGAACAGTGTGGTCTGTTCACCCAGATTGTTGGATGTCTTTATAATGCTACCAGGATGTCTTCTACCATGACAGTTGCTTTTTAAAGCTAGAGAGTAAGGATGCGTAGTTGGTGTGGTAATGGACTAAAGTTCCTTCACCTCAGTTGTCTTCGTTGTGATTTGCCGTCTTCTAACTTCAGTTTTGCACAACCCATCTCTCCTCACAGATATGCGAGGATTCATGACTGCGCACGGGCAGCCAGACCAGCCTCGGTCTGCTCGCTATATCCTGAAGGACTACGTCAGTGTAAGTGAGTCCAGCTCCTCGATGCTCTTGAGTGAGCAGGCCTCCTCTCTCATGGCGCCTAGACGCCAGCAACCTGTTGCGTCACAAAGGAGGGATTTTCTCGTTGAGGGTGTATTGTAATTGGCAAGATCCAGTGTTGGCAAGGTTGGCGCGGGTCTTCTGCGGGAGGAGATCCGCAGCCTCGGCGTGGCTTTCTTGATCCGGGGGAGTTGGCGTCATGTGAGCCAGAGATGGAACCAACAGCACAATTACGAGAGAGAAAGCTCTCTGCACATTGTCAGCAAAAGTGATAAATGCGTGCCTCTGGCTTTGCCATCGCCTGCAGCTCCTCTTGCAGCTGTGTCACAGTCCTCCTGGGAGCGGAGCGTCCGTATGCCGTTCTCCCTGCGCTCGCCCGGTAACGGTACTCACAGCCCTGCCGAGAATAGTGCTGTTTTCGGTGCATCGTCTCATTAAAGATACATAACGAGTCTGTCCACATCACAGATGAGGACGTGCTAAGTTTTGGGTTTTCCTCATCAGTAAAATAGGAATGAAGAGTAACTGTCTCAGGAGATTATTATGGGAAGTAAATGAGAATAACGTGTGTGTAGAGACACACACACCACTAAGCTCAGTGCCTGGTGCATGATTAGCCCCCAGTACTTGTTATGTATTAAGCTTAATTCTTTCTGCAAGCAAGCATCTTGGGTCTCCCATAATAACTGGTTGTGAGGATTCCCTCTTCTGAATGCCACATCAGCAGAGCTCTTGGAAGCATAGGAGTAAAATTGAACATCCATACTCTCTTGCCTTCAGTTCAGGAAGAAAGTAGTTAATCAGTAGAGTATTTGTATGGATAAATTATTTATTCATTTGCCATTTATAAAACTGTAGAAGATGAGTTACAAACCACAGTTTATAGAGTGTTTATGGTGGGAAGCAGGAAATTTGCATCCAGTGAGCAACTGCCCAACATCTGCATTAGTATAATCCTGCTGTGCAGTTGTGTCCTGATTTTCATTTTGGAAAACGCTTAGCCTAAGTATAGTCACATAAGTGCACCGAAGAACACGAGTAGAAATGCAAACAAGGTAAAAAGGAGCACAGAGGAGAAAGATTTCCTCCTGGTCTGCGGGCTGTGGGCAGGCTAGGCCTTCAGAACACTTTAAAGGTAAGTCAGTGTATTCATTAGGACTCTCCATTTGCAGGTGACCAGAAGTCAGCTTGGTTAATCGAAAAGCAGGAAGGGGCACCTCGGTGGCTCTGTTGGTTAAGCGTCCAACTTCGGCTCAGTGCGTGATCTCACGGTTCGTGGGTTTGAGCCCTGCGTCAGGCTCTGCTGACAGCTCAGAGCCTGCTTTGGATTCTGTGTCTCTCTGTGTGTCCCTCCTCTGTTCACACTCTTACTCTCTCTAAATAAATAAACTTTTTTTTTTTTTTTTTAATTGAAAAAAAGGAAGCTGGTCAGAGGGTGCTTGGCGGAGATGTCTTTGAGGGTTTTTCTTTCTTCTGGGAGAACACAGACAACACATGATGTGCTGTTAACGCTTCTTGTCTTCGTAGGGTAAACTTCTGTACTGTCATCCTCCTCCTGGAAGAGACCCTGTGACCTTTCAGCATCAACACCAGCGACTCCTAGAGAACAAAACGAATGGTGGTGAACTAAAAATACATCCAGGCGGAAATAAAAAAGCAAAACAGATTGAAAATGTAGTTGACAAAAGTTTTTTCCATCAAGTAAGTTTTAAAGTTTTTCTTTAACTTCTGGTCAGCATATATTATATAGCAGTTCTATTGAAATAACCATTCACATAGTGTAAAAGCCACCCTTTGCAAGTATAGTTCAGTAGTTTATAGTATATTCAGAGTTGTGTAGCCATCACCATAATTTCAGAACGTTTTCATCGCTCCAGAAAGAAACGTTGTACCCATTATCAGTCACTCACCGTTCCCCACTCTCCCCAGCCTTTTCCAACTACTGATCAGCTTTCTCCTATATAGATTTGCCTATTCTGAACATTTCATATAGATGAAATCACCCACTATGTAGTCTTTTCTGACTGTCTTCTTTAACTTGGCATAATGACTTCAAGGTTCATCCATTTATCAGTACTTTATTCCTTTTTATTGCCAAATAATATTTCATTGAGTGGATATGTCACATTTTGTTTATTTCTCATAGATGGAATTTGGGTTGTTTCCCCTTTCTATTATAAGATAAATGATTTTTTTTTTTTTTTTTTAGTTTTTTTTTTAATGTGTATTCATTTTTGAGAGAAAGACAGAGACAGAGCGTGAGCCAGGGAGAGGCAGAGAGAGAGGGGGAGACCTAGAATTTGAAGCAGGTCCCAGGCTCTGAGCTCTCGGCACAGAGCCCGACGTAGGGCTCTAACTCATGAACCATGAGATCGTGACCTGAAGTCAGATGCTTGACCGACTGAGCCACCCGAGCATCCCCCCTTTTCTATTATAAATAATGCTCTGAACATTCATGCACAAGCTTTTGTGTGAACATAGATTTTCAGTTCTCTTGGGCATATAATTAGGGGTGGGATTTGCCGGGTCATGTGTTAACCACATGTTTAACATTTGAGGTACTGCCAGACTTTGGAAAGTGTCTGTGCCATTTTACATTCCCACCGTCAGGGTATGAGGGCTCTAATTTCCTTATATCCTTACTGGTATTTATTTTCCGTGTTTTTTTACTTTAGTCATCCTACTATATGAAGTGGTATCTCATGATTTTGATTTTGATTTCCCTAAGGATGTTGGTAATCTTGTGTGCTCATTGGCACATGTAGATCTTCTTTGGAGAATTACCTATTGTTGAGTTGTAAGAGTTCTTTATAAATTCTGATAAAAACCTTTATCATATTTATAATTTGCAAATATTTTCTACTGTTTAGTGGTCTTTCTGAGCCAGTACATTTTAGTAACTTTCATTGTTTACATCACAGCTACAGTTTATATGCTGCACTTTAAACAACAAATTTAGGAGCACCTGGGTGGCTTGGTCATTTAATTGTCCACCTTCGGCTCAGGTCATGATCTCACGGTTCATGAGTTCAAGCCCTACATCAAGCTCTCTGCTGTCCACGAGCAGCCTGCTTCGGATCCTGTCTCCCTCACTGTCTGCCCCTCCCCCACTCACATGCACTCTCTATCTCTCCCTCCCAAAAATAAACATTTAAAAAAGATTTTGTAACATAAGAAAATAAAGAAAACTTATATGCAGAACAGTTAAATCCTATAACTGTACTTAATATATTTTTTTAAATCCTTTTGTGACTACTACAGCCATAAAAGGGTGGTAGGGGGAGGGGGTGTCATCTGTATCCAGAGTGATTTCTTTCTGTATTTATATGATGCTTTATTTGTGTGCCTCACACAGGCCAAGCAGATAGTGCTATCCACCACTGGGGCCATTGAGGCTTAAGGAGGCAAAGTGACTTATTCAAGGATACTTGTCTTAAATGGCAAGGCTGGGCTAGAACTTGATTGTTGTGGCTCCTGGTTTGAATTATTTCCAAGTCTGCCAATATTTAGGAGGAAATTTACTGATAGGCAGAAAGATCATAGGTTCTTCCTTGGACCTACTTCTATTAAGACAATCATGAAATACTGCTTTGCACTTGCAGAATCATATGGGATTAATTTTATTTTTACTAAGTAAACTTAATTGTTCAGTTTTTTGTTTCATTTTGCTCTGCTTAAATAAAATCACAAGTTTACAGAAACTTTTTTGAGCACTATTACATGTGGATACTACACTAGGACCTAGGATATCAAAAGGAAGAAAACATAATTACTGTTTTCAGGGAGATCACATTCTAGCTAAGGGGAGATGGGCAAGTTAACAAGTAACGTGACACGTTAGGTCTAGGGCAGAAGTATAAGTCAGGTACTTTGTGAACCCGGATTGGGGAGCAGTTCCCCCTTGGGGCCGGGAGGAGAGTAGGTGAGTGAACGCCACAGACAGGAGGTGATATCTAAGCTGGACTCTAAGGGCAAATATAAATGTACTGGTTGGAAGGAGTGGTGAGGGCGATTCTCCAGGCAGAGAGGGAGTAGCGTGAACAAAGGCATAAAAAGATGGGAGTGTGGATTCTGTCAATAAGGAGCCCATGTTGTAGGTGGTCTTGTGTACCCGCTGAGGGAATATGAACTTGGTTCCCCAGGCTACAGGGAGCCATCAGAGGTTTGTGAGGAAAGAGAGGTACGTGATTGTTAAACTCTAGTAGAAGTGGGGAGTGTTGCAGTGTTCCAGTGAAAGCTAATGAATACCGGGACTAGAACAGGGTGGTGGAGAACAGTGGATAGGTACACCAAATGCTAGAGCCTGGAGCCCACAGAACTTACTGGCTGGCTGTATGTGGTAGATGAGGAAGGCAAAGGGAGTGCTTGCTCAGTGGCTAGCTACAGATAGTATTTGAAGCGATGGGACTACGCAAAGTGAAGGACAAAGAGAATGCACTCAAGACAATGCAGAGAAACTTAAGAATGGGTAGAGAGAGGAGCAGTGAAGGGGGTGGAAGTCCTCTGTCTTGGAGTTCTCCATAAATAATACTGTGCTTACATCTCCCATACTGCTGTCTTCACTTCCTAGGAAAACGTGAGAGCTTTGACCAAAGGAGTCCAGGCTGTGATGGGCTACAAGCCAGGGAGTGGCCTGGTGACTACAGCTGCTGTGAGCTCTGAGAGCAGGGCTGGGAAGGCCTGGAAAAAACATGGCAACAGAAATAAAAAAGAGAAAACTCGTAGACTCTATAAGCACCTAGATACGTGAACTTGGGCTGCAGTGGAAATGGCATCTGCGTTGTGCACCTGGAGAAGAAACAGAAGCTGCTCTTGGCCGTGATGCTGTGAAATGGACCCTGCTTCTTGTGGCACGCAGCCACACCAGACAGCCAGTATCAAGATGCAGGGGCTCCGTGGAGCACCGAGTCTAACACAGTCATCTTGGAGCCCCAGAAACTGTCCTGTAGAAGGCTGAATTTGAGATGGGGGAATGAATGATTGAATGTTTGTGTAAACAAATACACATGCATACTAATTTGTAAGTTGGGTTTTTTAAAAAATAAATAAATAAATAAAATAAAATGGTCACTAACAGACATTTTATTGGTTTAGTAGATACACTGCCATTTGGACATTTCGCATTCTTTAAACAGTTGCAATTTGCCAAAGCATGACTGGGATTTTAGATGGATTCTTTTGAGAACAGTATATAGGTTACTGATTCTCAACCTCACATGCATACCCAGCAGTCCCCTGGTATTGCAGAAGGCACATCAGGTCTTGGAGTGAGGGGGCTAGCAGATGTAGTTTTTAAAAGCCTCAGAGAGCCCAACCTTCTATTGAAGATCCCTGTCAACATGAGCCACTACTATAGAAGGTAGTGTGTGTTTTTCTAAAGCTCACCACAGGCATGAGGAAATGGGCAGATGATCAGCTAGTTTTTGTTTTAGGTATAGATGCCTGATCTCCTTAGTACTTAGGACCATCAAGAGTGAGACAAGGACGGTTTACCTTTTATAGTACCATTCCTGTTTTAGCCTCTCACTTTACTTTTGTCTCCCTTTTTCTATGAGCCTCATTATTCCCTTAACTCAGATCCTTTCCTTGTGTTGTGTGATAGATGTTTTTGGAAATCTAACGGACATTATGGATGCCTTCTCCAGAAAAATGCACATGCCCATGAACAGTCTTGTGAAATGTATCAGAAGATGACAGACTCGCGGTTCGTCCACAGTTTTGCAGTTAAGCCTTGCCCGATGTGGCCAGAGTATATTTAAGATCTATTTGAAAATGTGTTCCACCTGGGGAATAAAAAATATATACTGGTTTATTCAACAGATAGCACCTTCTGTGTGGCAGGAAAGGCACTGGAAACCGGGGACAGCAGGAGTAGGGCCCTGATGCAGGAAGTTAGCAAGAGCCATCACACGGCCTTAGAGCCTGTAAGGGGATTCTGGAGGTTTGCTCAAAAGCGGTGGGTAAGCCAAGGAAGAGTTTATAAACAGGTAAGGAATTAGTGTTCTAGTTCTTCATTTGAATATCGGGTGAAAGGTTATTCCAGATCAAGCCTGAGGCAGAGCTAGAGAGGTTCCGCAGTTGTGTTCATCCATCTGCAACAATATACTTCTAGTTCTTCCCTTTGATCTGAGGAAAGGGACAGTCTGAAAAGCCCATGGAAGAAGAGGAACATGCATCAGCATGTTAAAGCCTACTTTGTTCCATTCACTGAAGAACAGGCACGGTTGTCTGGGAGAAACTTCCATGCTGAATGGACAGAGCATGTACTGATTTTGAATAAGTTTTGCTTTAATGATAGTGTAATAGCTAAAACATGAGACTTCTTAGAAAAAGTAATTACATATGCTTCACGTTCCTGATTATTTTTGTAACAGTTTTATTGAGATATTCACATACCATGCAAGTTCACCAGTTTTAAAGGATACAATTCAGCGGTTCTTAGTATATTCAGAGTTATATAACCATCACCACAACCGGTTGTACATTACTGCCACAAAAAACCCAAGACCCTTTAGCCAGTGGCCCCCAATCCTCCCAATCCCCACCCCCCCAGCCATAAGCAAACCCTAATCTACTTTATATATGGATTTGCCTATTCTATATGTTCATAATAAAGGAATCAAGCTATGTGACCTTTCGTGACTGGCTTTCACTTAGCCTGATGTCTTCAAGGTTCATCCATGCTCTAACATCTCTCAGTATTTCATTGCTTTTTGTTGCCAAATAATACATTCCACTGAATGGATATACCACATTTTGTTTATTCATTCATCAGTTAAAAGGCATTTGGTTTCCACCTACTGTCTATCATGAATACAGTGCTGCTGTGAACGTTTGTGTACAGGTTTTTGTGTGGTTTTTAATTCTTAAGTATATATCTAGGAGTGGAATTGCAATATATTTAACCTTTGAGTAGCTACCATACTGATTTTCAGAATGGGTGTACCATTTTACATTTTCCATCAACGGTGTATAAAGGTTCTAGTTTCTCCGTAGTTCTGTCAACACACGTTACTGTCTTACTGTCTTTTTATGTTTTGGCCATCCTAGTGGGTATAAAGCGATATGTCATGGTTTTGATTTACATTCCCTTGATGCCAAATGACGAGCATCTTCTCATGTGCTTATTGCCCACTTGTAGATCTTTGGGAAAATGTCTATTCAGATCTTTTGTCCATTCTTTTTTTTTTTTTTTAAATGAGGATTTCTTTTATTTTTTAATTTTTTTTAATGTTTATTTTTGAGAGCGAGAGAGACAGAGCACAAGCAGGGGAGAGGCAGAGAGAGGGAGACACAGAATCCAAAGCAGGGTCCAGGCTCTGAGCGGTCAGTGCACAGCCCAACGCGGGGCTCGAACTCATGGACCATGAGATCATGACCTGAGCCAAAGTTGGACGCTTAACCGACTGAGCCACCCAGGCATCCCCTCTGTCCATTCTTTAATGGAGTTATTTATCTTGTTACTGAGTTATAAAAGTTGTTTGTACACTCTAGGTACAGGTCCCTTAGCAGATGTGTAATTTGCAAATGTTTTCTGCCATTCAGTGGGTTGTCTTTTCATTTTCTGATAGTGCCTTTGAAGCACAGTTTTAATTCTGGTGAAGTCCATATGGATCCATTTTTTTCTTTGGTTGCTTGTGCTTTTGGTGTTAAATTTAAGAAACTATTGGCAGATCCAAGGTTATTAAGATTTACCCCCGTGTTTCCTTCCAAGGGTTTCAGAGTTTTAGCTCTTACGTTTAGGTCTCTGGTCTAAGTTTTCATATCTGGTGTGAGGTAGAAGATGGACCAACTTCATTCTTTTGCATGTGGCATCCAGTAGCCCCAGAGCAGTTTGTTGAAAAGACTAGTGTTTACCCACTGAATTGTTTCAGCACCTTTGTCGAGAATTGAACATAAATGTGAGGGCTTATTTCTGGATGTATGCCTTTGGTATTTAACCTTCATGAATGTGCAACAGTTGTGAAGAGCATCCGACTCCATCTTCTAGCAAATATTCCTGGTAAGAGATGTCTCTCTGTGTAGATGCTCCACACCCCTCCATCCCTTAGCCACTTTGAGTTCACCTGCAGCCCCAGGGGACGGTTCCTGTGCGAGCCCTTCCTCTGCAAACCCTGTATTTCCTGCGTTCCTTTCTCCTGCACCACAGGAGCCTGCTCGCTGCGCACACAGGGCAATCTAGACGGGCTGGGGATTTAACAACCCCCGGAGCAACCCCCAACTGGTCAAGAATGGGGGCTGGGTGCTAAGTGCCCCAGCTTCCCTGTCACTTGGTGCATACACTGTACATTTTCCACACTAGATCCTTCATGGAAATCATCTCACTAACTCGCCCGCTGCCCTCCTCCCTTCCCTCACTGTCCACTCCCTCACTTCTGCTTCAGGGGGTTGCCTCCCAGATTAACTAAATCTAAGTCCTCTGCTTAGAGTCTGAAGAACCCAAACTAGGACACCCCGGAGGGTGTCTGTTTTTAAGTATCCTCACCCTTGTAGCGAGGAGTACGGTAGACTTACAAGTTCCAGCCATTAGCATGATCACTTTATTGTTTTGAAATTTTTCCCCCAGCATTTTATTACAAGAAATATACTGCCCTTTTAAAGTAGAACCTGCTATACATCTGTCCTCCGTCTCCTTTTCAGGAAGTTAGGAGGAAGTGGAGGTTTCTGTCAAGACATCAATAGCAATATAGGTTTTCTTGGCGGGCAAACTGGGAAATGTGGCCACAAGCCAGAAATCGACCTAATGCCACCCCTCTAAAGTCCTTGTGGAGCAGTGAGGAAAATCATTCAGAATGTCCACGCCTAACAGTTTGTTGTCTGTTCTGTTCAACACACCATAGGGGCGCCTGGGTGGCGCAGTCGGTTAAGCGGCCGACTTCAGCCAGGTCACGATCTCGCGGTCCGGGAGTTCGAGCCCCGCGTCGGGCTCTGGGCTGATGGCTCAGAGCCTGGAGCCTGTTTCCGATTCTGTGTCTCCCTCTCTCTCTGCCCCTCCCCCGTTCATGCTCTGTCTCTCACTGTCCCAAAAATAAATAAACGTTGAAAAAAAAAATTTAAAAAAAAAAACAAAAAAAAAAAAACACACCATAGACCAACTGAGGGTGAAGAGAGGGCCACACAGGAAAGAACTTGCTATCAAAGGCTCCAATATGAAGGGAAAACAACAATTCTGAGCAATCCAAAAGTGAAGGGCATTATGTAAGTGAAGAGTGCCCAGTGCACAGAACACTGAATACATAAGTGTTCTGTTGAAGTGTGATACGTATACAGAAAGAACACAACTGTGAGAGTATAGATAGCTGACTTTCACCAACATACTGATGCAACCGGCACCTTGACTGAGAACACGGTTAGCACTTCGTACCTCCTTTCAGCAAAGACTGACCACCCCAAGGGCTACCGCTGTTCTCACCTTTTCACCACGTTTTGTATGATACGTAAGCAGACTCTACCGTATGATATGTAAGCAGGCTCGGTAGGTGGAGGGTACAACTCTTGATCTCGGGGTTTGAGTTCAAGCCCCACATTGAGTGCCGCGATTACTAAAAATAAAAATCTTTAAAAAAATTGTTAAAAAAAAATCTACAGCGTGTACTCATGTATCTGGCTTCTTTAATCCAACGTGGTGAGGTCCGTCCACAGTCTTGCATTTGATAAATAAATCACTGTCACCGCTGTAGGGTATTCTGTGGTGTGAATATGTCACCATTTATCTGTTCTATTATTGATGGACATGTAGACGTTTTGCAG